GACGCTAAATGGAAATTTTATCAGAGGCCGGTGGTTTCCTGTTAGTGAAATCTTCGATTTACACGACCGTCCGAGCGTAAAGTGCGCGAATCGAAAATTATTGGAAGGCGATGCACGTGTTACGTCGATTTAGCAGGTTTGCACCGCGAAATACGTTTGTTAGCTGATGACTCAGGATGGTTCGGCCCCTCTTCCGGTCCCTTCTCCAACCTCACTTTTGCACGACTGGAGACGACGCTTTTTAACTTTGTTGGCTGGCAAACTTTCAAACAGAATGCGAATCGTGCGTCATTGGTGCAAACGTGCTGTTCATACGACAAACAGTATGTGTTACTGCGGAAAGAATTTTACTAAATGAAATTGTGGAGGGCGTTTGAGGAATGTTTCACTTGAAATGCAATTATTTATTTGTTGATAGGACGTGTACAAACCGAATTTACAGGATATGGCCGGTATAAGTTTCAAAAGTTCTTAACGTTCTTAAACTTAACAATAAGAAAAAGAGTTTTTAAAAGTTTATTCGATTTTGCTGCATTTTAAAGAAACAACAAAGTTCTAGTTCTTAAGCTTACTTGTTATTTATATTTATGCTTATTTATTTATGTTGTCATGGATTTAATGAAGATACTGCTAAAAAAGCTGTTAAAACAGTGACCACTCCAATTGCAGTTAGACATCGCTCCGGTGATATTTGATACACTGCAGCTACGATTCAGTGTCACCTTCGTTAAAGAAGTGTAAATAAAAGCATGAAAACGAAGAAGTTTCTGTTTCTTCTCTAAAATACAGCAAAAACGAGTAAATCCCTAAAAGACATTTTTTTTTTAGTTTATCAGTCTCCTATATGTTCCCGAAATTTTGACGTTTAAATTGGGACACCCTGTATATACGCAATTATATATATATCCATACGTATAGTGTACAAGGCAAAGGACAAAATATAAAAAGAGAAATCTAATCAATAATATTCCATATAAATAAAAATTACTTGAAACAATGAATAGAATAACAAAAAAATTATTCGATTGATTGTTAAAAGTAAGAGGGTGTTTAATTGAATTATTTAGATGTTAAATCGTATAATTTTATGTTTAAATACTAATCTCTCAATGTAGTTCGATTTGTCAAAATAACATGCAATATCAACTATTTGTTGTTCACCTTCTTACGTATACAAGAAGACTAATAATTCTAAATGTTCTGATAAAAAAGAAGAAATATAAGAATTGTATGAAAGAAGTACTCAGTCTTATCTTTCTCCTTATTAATATTAGAACTAATGAACTATGCGAATAAGTAGAATTGCGCGAGACGATAGCGAAGGCGATGAAAATAATTAGTTGGCCAGGAAATAGGAGCAAACAATGTATTATGACACCGCAAAGTACAGAGAAAAGTGTAACATTGTAAAAAGCTCCTGAGCTGTACATGTAACTTCTATTAACTAAATAAATACCAGAATTATCAGCAATTAAAATATGAAATTTGTACGAATGAAATTAAGTAGCGAAGAATGAAACAAGAAATAGAGCAAACCTGAAGAAAAGTAAATATTTCTAAATCTAACAATAAACTAAATGTATTCTATAAAAAAAAATCGTTGTAAAATATTCGTATACTATAAGAAGCCGACCAAGCAAGAAATATGTGACTGACAGAGGAGAAATAGGAAAATCTTTAAAAAGGATAAAAAAAAAAATCGTAAACCTAATAATAAACTCGATGAAACCTATGCTTCCACCAGGAATTCAAAAGCAAATCCTAGTTCAAAATCCCTCAAGACGAACAGCCATTCGATTCTCCGACCTCGATCAATTTGATCGTAGAAGAAAAATTCAAAAATTCCAAGATGCTCGACAGTGTTGCAAGCACAAAGAACAGAAGCGAAGGAAGGACCGGGCTTCTTGCATTATTCATCAAGCGGACTCGAACGTGCTCCCTTTGTTCACGGCGTGCCTCCGTTAAAGTCCTATCCCGCCATTTTTCTTTCAACGAACCGTGGAACCCGAACGGCCATAACTTGAACAATAATTTTCGTTGGTATTAAACCGGCGCGGACTCCGCGACGTGTCCCTATCGATTTCTAGTTAGACGGTGAGATATGACACTCTGCCTGATAACGGTGATAAGCGAGTGGCCTCGATGAAGTTGGAAAGTTAATGAGCATCCCTGCGACCCCGTCTTTGTTCAGCACCTATTTTCGACGGTTGCACGGCTGCATACCTTGAATTATAGTAGCTAAAAATGCCACTGGCACATACCTTTATCTTCCATTCAAGCACTTTTCTTTAGCATATTCTATATATCAGTTTAAATATAATAGTATCGAATTTTTGCAGTGATACGAAAACACTATTAAATGATATGAAACTTCGTATACTTGTACTTGGACCTAATTAATTGGCACATATGTGTTGCAATAGGTATAATGATATGCAAATAATTTTTGTAGTAACTGTATATAATTTAATCTAACTTACCGTCGATATGCATAGCGACGTATGATGCTTTCTTCATCGGTGTATATCTTCAGGTACAAGTTCCAAACTTTACCGATGTAATCGTGATAATCGAGACTTATCGCTAGAGTGCAGAGTTTTATGTATTTACAGAAGCCTCGAGAGTGCAAAATTGCATTTGCAACTGCAGAATACGCATAATACGAACATATGAAAAGCCACTTTTCTATTCAAACTTATAATACTTAACGTGCGTTTACACTCCCATAGCGAAGCTCGTCGAACTAATCCCGCAAGAATCTTTCCATTTATGTACCAATGTAATCTTCCTTCGAGAAACAAAATAAAAATCCACCTACGGCTTTAATAAAAGCCACCTAACTACAAAACGAAATCACAAACTTCCTCCGTTCCCCTATTTCCCTTAAGACATTCTGATTCAACAGCGAATGCTAGGAAACAAGCTAAAAGTCAACTTCTAACATACTCCTACGAGTGTCACCTAACTGCATCGTGAAATTTAACGCTATCTCAACTTCACTGGCATCCATAGGATTCGCAAGCTTCGTCGAAACGTTAAGTCCTTACTACGGTTAATTAAGAAGCCGACGGCCTGACCCAGACGGTTAATTCGAGTAATTAAGAACGGTCCAAGCTCGTTCGTGTTACGCTCTCCTTATTAATTAAAAAGGCTCGCGAGCAGCTGTATCTCCTCATCGTGGCAATTCCTCTCGGTTATTTCGCACGGCGATCGTTCCGCCAAGTGGGCAAACAGCGTGCTGGAACGTCGAGGAGGATCATGGCAGGACAACAGGGACCATTTGGAATTTTATTGTTCGATGTCCGCCCCTTCTATTCGCCCGACAGAATGGGAGTTGCTGTTTCGGAGATTTCTTGGTATTTCGTGTCTAATAGCGCTGAAATCGACGACTCATTTTTTTTTAGCGATGAAAAATGGATTTTTATTATAGCGATGAACCGATATTATTAAATCGTCCAGGATCATATAGTTGTTGGTTAATAGACTGCCGATATTTATGCAAATATTTATGCATATTTTTACGAAGATAATTAAAAAAGTGGAATCTAGATATTGCGTGTTAAATATTACAATGAGTATACTTTGACTATACTTTGGTATTTGATATATTTTTACGTGTTATATATATGTCGGAGATGAAAGGACACCGAAGCCTTCCCTTTGGAACTTTGGGAAAATCCCCTAACATTATTATCTAGATTTTAATCACAGCCGTAATTAAGCAATTGTCGTCATTCGATCCGATTGTATTTGTTCGAGATTTGTGATATTGAGCTTAGGCTCGAGGCGACAACCTTCGAGACTAGCATCCTTCTCTAACCACCAACATGGAAATTGACCAATTAACAGCAACGTCAATTTCCCTCACTTTCCGAACGAGGGCTTTTCTTGACGAATCCGATGATCTGGTGTCCTTAGACACACCCCATCATAGTTTTCCTCCGCAGCATCATCGTGACGGAAAGTCATTCTCTCGTGAGGTCTCATTAGCGACTTACATAGCGTCTTTACGCTCGGTGAATATTTTACGTTTTAACAAAGAGCTAGTTTAGTAATACCTGTACCGTAAACAAGTAGATCGAGTCCGACTTAGACTTTGGAAGAAAGTACATTTGTTATCCCGTTGACCGCGAATTCGTTATCCAACCTAAGACCATTGTCATTAGTGTCTAATCACCGTGGTTACCTGTCAATTCTGCAATTATCACACTTGTACTAATAATCATATTTGTACTAGTAAATATCTTCTCTATTGCATAACAACAATGTCTAATCCAAATGAAGATTCGTTACACGCCCTTAACCCTAATCATAATGTGAATCCGACTTGTATATACATTCCGTGCATTTATATAGGAAATTTAAAAGTGCAAGATTGCACAGGATGTAGATAATACAATATAGAAGAAATATGTAAAATATCTGGTAAGTGGAACAATTTTGTACCCAGCTCCTATCTTTTTAATTATATTGGGAAAAATATGAATTCGCATAAAAGTCCGTAGCCTGGTTATTATTTATTAATATAATCGCCCTACGATTTATTTCAAAGCAAACGTGGCTGTTTGGATTACTTAATTTTATAATACTACGTCGATCGATAACTGATGCACTTTTCTTTCGCTTAATCGCGAATAGCAGGCAACGTGTTGAGCTAACAAAGCTCCAAGTAACATGTCGTTAATCCTTCTAAAACCAAATATTTGTCCATTGAAAGGAGTTCTCTTCGTCATCTTAAAATCTCGTTACCTCAACGATACAATAAACCTTTGCCGTAACTAGAAGCTCTCAACAGTTGATATATTATCTTATGGAAAAATCAAAAATTTCCCAAGAAAGCATTGTTCAGTAATAAGAACTCGAGTCGATGGAAAAGCATGGTTTCCAGGAAATAGAAGAGCAACGTTTGTCCTTCCTGATAAATACACTGGAGAGAAGAACTCCAGCAAGCAGTCCACGTGTTTGGCCTTTTCCAAGTAACCATCGAATTAACGTTTCAGCGTGGGTTGGCGCATTGAGCACTGCGGTCTCCCGTGGATCGGCACCCTTGGTCGTTGGCGCGTGTCGCCGTGGAAGTACAAGGCTTACAGCGGTGATCGGTGGTCTCGTGCTGGCATTGGCCTCGCTCTTCACCTCGTTCGCCGCAGAATTGCACCAGGTCCTCCTCAGGTGAGTGACAAACTGCCTCGTTCTTTCAAAGATACAAGATGCAAGATTCAAAGTTCGTATTCGTCCAATCTACTTAAGAAACACGTTGCTATTAGAGTAAGACAAGCTTGGACAGATATTTTGCGTTAGGTTATTTATAGATTGCATAATATCGTAAATAAGCTGCATATGTTCAGAGCCAAGAAATAAATCAGATAAGAGGAATAAACGATACTTTGAAAAAATTCTGAAATTGATTTTTAAGCTTTATAATTTTCTGCAATTTTGTAATTATTTCTTTCAACTGTTTAAGTTGCTTAAAGTAGATTTTCCAAATCAATAAGTCACAATTCAAAATCAAAGTTAGGAATTTCCTTGTTGTTTCTGAATTTTCAAAACTTGACGTTAAAAAGTGACGCTTTACTATAGAATACATAAAAAGAGACGTAAGGTTAGTATAACGTGAAAACGATAGTAAGATATTTATGGAATATTGTTAAAGAATTAAGAAGCGGAATATAAAATTTGAAAATGATCAAATACATTCATTGCTGGTTGAATTATTTATACCTCTGTCATTTGTTTTCATATTAAATTTACATAAAGTATGTGTTTTATATTATGTGAATTATTTCTATACTACTGTGTTGGTGAAAACTACAATGCTTCCTTGAAACAAAAATTCAGATGATCTTTAGACTTTGGAAACGATTGAATTAATTCAAACTATTATACTTATTAATTCCAATAGCATTTGAAACGACTTTCTTCGTCGTAAACAGGAGATAATCATGAAAAATGACGATTATTTTATGTCCTCGTTCTACTTCAAAGAATTTTTTGAAACGTACATTTAATTAAAAACTTTTTGCCGAGTCTCAAAGATAATTAATTCGCGGATCTCCGGTTTTTATTTTCTTTTTTCTCTGTATTCCGCTTTAACTTTTAAAGTTCATGCGATTCCAGCTACTTGAACTTCCACTGAGAACCATCCAAGAGTTACTACACACTCTTGTAAAGAATTAATAATTCAGTGGAAACGCAACAAACGCTCGCGATATCTCGCTTTAAGTCGCTGGAGAACACAACCACGTTCTCATACTAACTCTCACCAACTCTCTTTCAAATAATCAGAAACTCTGAAACGCATATCACGAATTTACTCATATTTTATTTGATCTTCTTATATTAAGCTTAAAAGCTATCATTAGATTGCCGACTTTTATGCATTTGTGGGAAACTTAAAAGTGTAAACATTCATAGAAAGCTCATGACACATCGTCTAAGTCACACAATATATAAAACACCTCAAAGTATAGTGCTTTTTATAAAATTCGATACGTAAAACGATCTTTTACTTACAATTATGTTCATAAAAGTATATATTTGTATAAATATTCGCAGTCTGATTATCATTAAACAAAATCATGTTTGTATTTTTAATATTATTTATTTTGTTTATGATATTGTTTATGATATTGAAATTTCTTCCAAGTACATATTTTTTATTTGTCTTACAGATTAATAAAATCAAGTAAATGTAATGTTTTATTTTTATTTTTATTATTATTCAGCATTAGGTGAAAAGTAGAAAAGTTACTATTTTTAATGATAACGTACAACGTCATGATAGTGTCATCAGAGGATGATTACATGAAGCCGAAATCCGTAAGAAACTCATGATTCCTTCTAAAGATTAATTCAAATGATTTCAATTTTATACAACATTTCCTCGAATCCTTAAACCATTCGCGTTTCCTCATATTCTGACGAATTAAGTCACGTTTCCTCGAATTCTGGCAAATTTGTTCCAATTTTCTTAGTAATTCCTTCTGAGTTAATTCGCATTTCCTGGAATCGTATTTCGTTAATTACGAAATTCCACGAGTTAATTACGAGTTTTCCACGATTCTGTGCGAATTACGTAGTGCGGCATAACGAACAATTAATTTACCTTTCTTTCCAGTTTTAACAAATCAGTAACTTAACGAAAAATTAATGTACGTTTTGTCCAATTTTAACAAGTTTGTATTTTGCTGAAACGTTGTGCGATTTTCTCTTGAAGAGCGATGAAGACACAGGTTTTGTTTAATGTTTGAAGCGAAAGTAAAAGAGATCAAAATTGTGACATATTTTTTCCTTGTACGAAACGCAAAACTGAGCTTTTCCAGGAAGTGAAAAATGATAGGGGATAGGCGGAAACTAGCAAGGTTGGACCTGTGGCTCCCTTGAGATACGACCCTTCGATGTCCGAATCGAAGACGATCAGTCTTCGTTGAAAGCTTAGATCCTGAACTCTGCAGGAAAAGAAAAAATTAACAGGATTTGTTCGAAGAAATATATGGGACATATAGCGTTAACAAATGATGCAACGTGATTAAAGCAGAAAGCGGAAATGTGAAAGTTTTGATAGATGATTCTCTTTGATCGTGTAAAATTTTTATTCAATGAAATATCAGTTTTTTTCAAGAAATATCAAGAATCAACTTTGTGTCGTTTGTATGATCTAGCATTTTGTGTTGTATTAAAAACTAATTTATTTTTTATTGTTATTGGAATAGTTATTGGTATAAAGAAAAGATTTCTCGAGATTTAGTTTCCATTTTTTATCTTGTTTTCCTTCAATAGTATTAATTTGCCTTGAAAATAGCATAAAGAGACAGTGGCATTCGCTCTAACACAAATTTAAATCGTATTAAAAAATTCCTTTATTTTTATTAATTATATACAAATTGTAATTAATTAGTTAATCTAGTTGAATTTAAAATTCCTTCGACCCTTGAAAGAAATCGGACAAACAGCGTTACCAAATTACTAACATCTCAAACAAAATTTAAAACAATCTTAACAAAAGTTCTAAGAAATCTCGAAAAATCCGTAAAATATAAAAAAAATTCTGATAGAATCTTGCAAAATCCTACAAGTTGCAAAAAGATCTGACTCTGCCTCCTCGTAATCCTACCCACTGCAGCTGGAAAATCTCGAAATCTCTAGTTTCTTTCCCCCTAAACTATGATAACATCTCTCAATCTTTTACGATCAATCAGCAGCTTCAAATTTGCCAATATCTCAAGGTAACTCGCCAACATTTGTAAATCTCAATTGGCTCGAAACTTGGCTCTGATTCGCGTATTTCGCGTATGCCCTCGAAAACGTATCTAACGCTTTTCCTCTTTCATCCTGCCCACTCTCGCTCTTCTAACAAATCGTTAAGCTATTCCCAGTGCTCGCTACTGCGAAGTGAAACGATTCACCGTTTGCAAAATGTAACAGCTACGGCGTGGTACTGGGCACCGGTGCTGGCCTCGTGAGAGAAACTGCCGACCTGGTGCTGGGCCATTACTTCAGAAAACGGCGGGAGTTCGTC